TCTGCAATATTTTGGTCTTCCATTAAGGCAACCAGTCGCGCTCATTCAAAGTTTAGTTGAACGGAAGGTAAGCTTCTTGAACAAGGCAATGTGGGGATGTTGCTGGATTCCTAAATCGAACTAATAAAATCATATTTTGGCATGTAATCTTCGACACTCTACTCGATCTGGAGTTCGATTGTTCATCACTTCACCTATAAAATCTTTCTTCCTTCAGCTTTGTAAGATTCTACAATCCATCTCGGCATCAAAGAAATCAAGATTGAAATCTTACTGGTGTCCAACCAATAATGCAATCAGCAAAGTAAATATGATATTTAATGTAAGATCTGACTCGGAGACGAGTGGATATACGTATGATCAAGAAAGATGGACAAATGATCACCATCATGAGTCGCGATCATGACAATAATTGTTACGTGTACATTCCGGTTTCTGGAGGTTTAGTACTTGGAAATCCCGTTGCTTCACGATTCTTCTAGTAACTTCGTATTAGAAATTATTAGGCTTTCACTAATCGACCTTTTGACGCTAAACAATTTGGAAACATATGCTTTTGCATATATTATATGCTGAGCACATCTATTAACAAAGCGAATTCGTTCCGTCCTATGATATATTTGTTCTGTGATGGCTAACAAGGCGAATTCGAGAACCTTGAAAATAATTAACAAGTCTCCTCCAGCAAAAGAAGGGTTCGATAGCAGTGATATAACAGGTGGTCATTGCCGAGATGATCCATCTTGTTGAACTGGCATAGCTGAAGAGTTGTTGGGCTACCTGGGCAAAGTTAATTGTCTACGGATCTACAACACAAAGTTGATTGACTATGGATCTGCGACACAAAGTTGATTGTCTACTGATCTACAACACAAAATGATAACAAATCATTGTTGAACATGATACAGTGTCATCATAGTTTATATTATCAGTTTGTATTAGTATACCGATCAATTATCAATAAAGTAGGTATCCTGTACCAAGTATATCAATATATGATATGTTGGGGTATACCGATGTATCGCCTATATCGATCCTTTGTCGGATCGATATGTACCAACCATCCATATCGATTGATACACTTCATGTACATCGACCCTTGAGTGTCACAATAATTTTCTTAGGACCTAAATCAAATTAGTAATATATGTAACATGTTAAGGATGAATACCACTGGGCTATTATGTTAATTCATAAATTTAATATTAGCGATGAATTTGAGTGAAACTTATTTGTATAATGTCATGTATCAATTGAACTTTAAAATTTAAGTTATTAGATTATGAACCAAACATATTATCTATAACTCTATTCTTTTAATTCTTAGAGATACAAGATCTATCTCGATCCATAAAAATATGATGAATAGATAATTATCCATCTTAATTCATATGATCCATAAAAATACGAGATTTAAACCAAACTATCCTCTCTATCCATCTTTTTTTATCTGAATATTTCTAATATATTTTTTAATTCATGTTTAGATATTTATTTTTCGTTCTTACTTTTAAGGGTTCAAAATTTTATTTTTTTTATACGAGATGATTCACTCATTGTTTATGTCTATCATTCGTGGTTCAATCAAACCATAGCTTCAATTAAAACATCATTGATTTAGTCTTATATCAAAAATGAATTAAAACTTATATTAACCTATAAAAATATGTTGAATATATTATTATTAATTTTATCTTAAAAATTTTAAGATAATAATTTAGACTCCATAAAATTAGACCCAAGAAAATATGTTGGGCACATGGCCCATTAGTTCAGCCCATAGTGGCCTTTAATAACTTATAGCTTACGACTATTAAAACTCATTCTCTTTTAACCTAAACCCTAACCCTTTTAACCAAGAGGTGTAGCAGTTAGGGCAACAGATATTGTGAAAAAGAGAGAAGCAACAGTGACAATTGAGGGCAGAAAAATAAGAGAAGGAAATGAAAGAAGATAAGGACAATATAGAGGCTGATCTCAATCATCCATGCAGTATTCTTATCTCCGATTATATCAGATTTACAATGGATTCTTGCTGTGATCACTTGAGGAGATTTTAGATATTATGCATAGTAACATAGTCTTTGTATCATAATTATTCTTTTATGATTATTGCTTAAGTTTTGGGTAAGAGACTATGAGATTTATATATTCATTATTCTTATAGTGGATTTTTTCTAACTTGACTTGTGGTTTTTAACCTTCACGTTGGAGGGATTTTTCATATAAAAATCTTGGTGTCCTATTTGATTATGATTTCTATTTAATTCCATTGTGTGTTTTGGCTTGCTTATATTTGTTCATATATAAAGTTGTATTTATTTGCATGTGTTACGACCTACTATGGTTTATCTTTTGATTCTGTAGGCTCTATTTCTTTTTCTTTTTTCTTGCTCTTCTTAGGTTGTTTGTATTGATTCTTGTAATGTACATTCTCACCATAATTATAGTAAACAATATTTTTTCTTGATCTTGACTTGCTTCTACCTATGCGTGAATCACTTGTATCCTTAGATTTTAACCTTCCTTTGTTTTCTGAGATAAGTACTTGTGAATCAATATGAGATGTTGCTGAATTCTTTCTTCTTAACTCCTCATTTAATAAATTGCTTGTTACTTTACTCATAGTGACAACAACATCTGGTGTAGAATTACTAAGGGAAACCACTAGTATCTCCAAACTTCTAGCAATGAATTAAGAAGTAACAATGCATGTAACTCATCATCAAGAGATATTTTCATAGAGAATAACTAGTTAGTGATACTTTGAATTTTATTCAAATGCTCAGTAATAGAAACGCTCTCTTTATATTTCAGGTTCACAAGTTTTTTGATGGAAAAAGCTTTGTTGCTAGTCATTTTTCTTTCATAGAGATATTTTAACTTTTTCTAAAGAGAGTATGCATAACTTTCAATGGAAATATGGTGAAATACACTATCATTGAGCCACTACCGAAGAAACCCGATTGTTTTTTGATCTAATCTCTTCCACTCATCATCTATCATAGTTATGAGCTTTGCACTATTCCCTTGCAAATGTGTATATAAAATTTTGTAATACAAGAGATTTTCCATTCTTGGTTTTCATATCATCAAATCGTTTCCACTAAGCTAATCATGTGTGAAACACTACCGACCTCTATGTTCGAACACAAAATTTAAATTACCAAAACCTTGCTTTGATACTAGTTGATGGGATAAAAAAAGAAGTTTGCATATGAGTAAATACAAACAGACCATAAGACATAGCAGAATTAAATAAAAATCATAATCAAATATGACATCAAGATTTTCTCTAGCTTGCGTACTTGTATTTGTTCTCATATAAAGTTCTCTTTTTATCTTGGTGTCCTATTTAATTATGATTTTTATTTAATTTAATTAATATTGTGTATTATGATCTACTTATATTTATTCTTATATAAAGTTCTCTTTTTATCTCATCAACTAGTATTAGAGCAAGGTTTTAATGATTTAATTTTTGTATTTGAACTTGAAGGCCGGTAGTATTTCTCGTATAATTAGTTTGAATGGAAATAATTGGATGATATAAAAACAAAAAATGAAAGATCTCTTATATTGTAAAAAATTATATGGACCTTTGTAAGGGGATAATGCAAAGGCCACAATTATAACAGATGCTGAGTGGAAGAGGTTAGATTGAAAAATAATCGGGTTTATTCGATGGTGACTTGATAACAGTGTATTTCACCATTTTTCTACTGAAAGTTCCACGTACTTTCTTCGAAAAATTTGGAAAGTCTTTATGAAAGAAAAATGACTAACAATAAAGCTTTCTTGATTAGAAAACTTATGAACCTGAAATATAAATATGATATTTTTTATTACTAAGCATTTGAATGAAATGTAGAGTATCACTAACCAATTATCCTCTATGAAAATGTCTCTTAATAATGAGTTACAAGCATTGTTACTTCTCAATTTATTGCTAGAAAGTTGGGAGACACTAGTGGTTTTCCTCAGTAATTCTACACCAGATGGTGTTGTCACTATGAGTCAAGTAACAAGTAATTTGTTGAATGAAGAATTGAGAAAAAGAATTTATTAACATCTTAGATTGATTCACACTTATCTTACAGAATAGAGAAAATATTAAAATCCAAGGATATAAGCGATTTACGTTATGGGTAGAAGCAAGTCAAGATCAAAAAAAGATTTAGTGGGAAAAGACATTACAAGAATTAATACATTGAATGAGGAGTTGAGAAAAAAAATTCATTAATATCTCAGATTGATTCACAGACACTTATCTTAGAGAATAAAAAAATATTAAAATCTAAGAATATAATTGATAGAGATACTTCTTATCATATTACATACGGAAGGAGTTATTTACTACATATAAATCTAAAAATTTATTAAGATGAACAACTATGACACGGAAATGAATGATATTCATATAAAGATCAATATTGACTGCTTGTATTTATTTATATATAAATTTTTTTATCTCATTATTATAATTCTTAATATATGGTCAGTTAATGTTTGGCACGTATGCCCATCTATCCAAACCTGCTGGTGCGTTATGCTATGCTCCATCGCTAGTTGGGCCTACCAATGCGAGCGGTCCGTGTAACTAATCACGTAACGTAACATCGTCATGTACACTAGATGAGTACACATCATATACGAGAAAGGCACTGATTACAAAATGAAGCGGCAGTGGAAGGACAATCCATGGCCTCTACTCTAAAACCTCACACACTTCATCTGTCAAATAATAAGATGGAGACAGCGGTCCCCCTGACATGAGTCTGTTTTTACGCTTTTCTTCTTTCTCTCAACCTTTTCCAGAGAAGCGCTTGGACTCCCAGACTGGTAGAATACGAAAAAGCTGAAAAGGGAAGACGAAGCAGCAACGACAGAGCCACCAAAGCAACCAGCCAACATGCCCCATACTTACCCTTCTTCGACCTCTTGCTTATGTTCATGCGCAGCTCCAAAGAAATCCGAGCAAAAAAGAATTTGATGACCAATAAATAAATACTAGTTTTCCTTTGTTCCTGCCATGAACCGAAGAAATCCAACTCCACAAAGGCCAACCATCCCAAAAACAAAACAAAGAAGTAATAATGATAATAATAAAGAACATGAGGTTTGGTCGAACCAAGAAGATTCTGTCTCCGTTCCGTTGCTCCACTGCCGCGCCGCTGATTCTCCTAAGTGCTCGCCGTCCGGTCGGCGATGCCCTCCATCATCCGAACGACCTCGGGGATGTCAGGTCGGGCGTCCGGCATGGTGGCGACGCAGGACATGGCGATCTGGAGAAGCTGCACCATCTCCTCCTCGGTGGTGGGATAGCGCATGAGCTCCACGTCGAACACCTCCGCCGTCCACTCCTCCCGCACGACCGACTGCACCCAACGCGGCAAGTCGATTCCCTCCTCGCCCAACGACGCCTGGTTCGGCGACTTCCCGGTCAGCAGCTCCAGAAGGAGCACGCCGAAGCTGTAGACGTCCGACTTGAAGGTGGGCCGCCTTGTCTCGATGACCTCCGGAGCGCGGTAACCGGCGACACGGTTGGGTGGGGCGGCGGAGCCAAAGAGCGGGTGGAGGCCGAAGTCGGAGACGACGACAGAGTGGAGGTCGGAACGGAGGAGGACGTTGGAAGCTTTGATGTTCCCGTGGACGATGCGCGCAGACGTGTGGAGGTGGGAGATGCCGCGGCCAGCGGCGAGGGCGATGCGCATCCGGCTCTCCCAGCCCAGCGGCGTCCGACCCGATCCTCGACTCCCTGTTGTGTGTTTTTGTTCGACAGAGTCAAAGCTCAATCGAAGTCGGGACTTTTACTTTCACAACATCTTTATTTGATGTATTAAGTTAATATTCTTTTTCTCTCGCAAATATATGATTTCATATAGTAAGAACAATCCAATTCTAAATATCTTAAACGAATATAAAGATACTAGAGAGAGTGAGGGGAGTGAAGACTGACCGTGGAGGAGGGAGGAGAGGCTCCCGACGGGGAGGTAGTCGAGAACGATGAGCTTCTCATCCTTGGAGTAGTAGTAGGCCCGCAGCGGCAGCAGGTTGTCCATGCGCTCCAACTGTCCCAGCGTCTCTACGTGCTCCTCGAACTCCCGCCTGGACACGGCCACGTCCTTAAGCCGCTTCACCACCACGGTGGTGCCCTCCTCCAGCACCGCCTTGTACGAAGTCCCCACGCTCCCCTTTCCTAGAACCTCCGCCGAAGCCCGCAGAAGGTCTTCAAGGTCGAAACGGTACCCTCCCCCGCTCCCCACGAGCACCAGTCGGTTCTTCTCCGCTGCCCCCGCCATTGCAGCTGCCCCGCTACCTGCCACGCCGCTGCTCAGGTCGTCCTTGGAGGACGACGTTATTCCCGTCCCTCCCGACCTCCCTGCTGCCTCATCCGCAGCCGCAGCCGTCATCGCCGCCTTCTGCTTTCGCCGCCTCCGCAGCAACGACAAGCATATCAGGAACAGCAGCAGGACCAGCAACAGGACGACGACCGCCGCCACCAAGATCCCCACGATCGACGTCTTCGATAATTTCTTCCTCGACTTGACCGGGTTCTCCTCCGCCGTTGGCGATGGCGCCGGAGAGGGGAAGAACGGGTTGCAAGGCGGCAGCGGCCGGCCGCATAGATCTAGGTTCCCGACGAAGGACGACTCGGGGAACCGCCTCAGAGTCCTGGGGATGGATCCATTGAGACGGTTGTACGAGACATTGAAGCCGACGAGGGAATCGATGCTGATGCTGGGGAGACTGCCGGAGAGGCGGTTGTTCTGTAAGAGGAGACCGGTGAGGTGGGTGAGGTTGCTGAGCGCGAAAGGGATTTCACCGGTGAGGTTGTTGCCGGATAGGTCGAGGCGGCCGAGGCCAGTCAGCTGGGACAGCCAGGAGGGTATCCCGCCGGAGAAGAGGTTGTTCTGGAGGTAGAGGCCGTGGAGGCTAGCGAGGCCAGCAAAGTCGTCGGGGATTGGGCCGGAGAGGCGGTTCAAGCGAAGGGAGAGGATGCGGAGGGAGGAGAGACGGCCGAGCGTACCAGCGGGAATGGGGCCGACAAGGCCGACTGCGGGGAGGCGGAGGGCAACCACAGCGGTGCGGTTGGCGTCGCAGGTGACTCCCACCCAGTCGCAGGCCGAGGAGTTAGCGTCCCACCGGATGCGCTGCTTGTGCGGGATGGCGTCGAGGAAAGCCAGCAGCGCCGCCCGGTCCTGGATGGGCTCGGAGCGCACAGCTAACGGACCCAGGCGGCCAATGGCGACGAAGAATACGAGGAGAAGAAGCCGAAGAAGAGGACGCGCCATTTCGAGGGGGACGGGGGGAGACGAGCGTCGCATCGGCGATGAGGAATCAACCAAAGGGGGGGATTGAAATGGGAAGCTTTTTACGGCGATGGGGGGAAAGTATTTGGGTGACGAGGAGCATCTTTGAAGATTGAGAAGGAAGGAGTGAGCGTATCATTGGATGCAGAGTACATAGAGAGAACGGAAGGAGTAGTAAATAGTAGTAGTAGCAGGCATCACGATAGGAGGAGGAGAGGGGGGAGGGGGGTGGTGGGGGCGTGAGGGCTATGATGAACTTTTTGGACTCGTCAAATTGCTTTCCTTTCTTTTTCTGTTCCTCTCTCCTTCTTTACGGAAAATAAACAGAAGAGCGGTCTCTCTTTTAAGGTTATTCCCACAAAAAGCATCGAAGCCGTTTGATTTCTTGGTTCAAATTGGTTCGGAGGTTTATTTCTGTTCTTCTCCATGCATAAGAATTGGGCATCTTTTATATTTGGGGCTGCTACAAACCGGTCGAATTCCAGGAAAGGTTTTAGGGATTTGAGGGTATTGGGGTATTCGATCAAAAAAGAATTTGGTGGGCTTACATGGAAAATTGCTGAATGAGTGCGGTCAGGTGGGCAAATCGGAAATTGCCAAGGCATTAGATGACACACAATAAATCCCGTAATCAACATAGTTTCCGGTGTCAAATATGGTCTTCTGGGAAATTACTAGCCATTCTTTAATACTACGGTAGTATTCGGCGGCGAGACTTATCCTTTGTAAAAGGAAAATTAATTATGTTTATTATTATTCATGCATTCAATTTTTATGCAATTAGCTGACTTCTCCTATCAGGCAGGAGAGAGGAAAAAGAATTAACGAGAAGTTGCCCGTAGGAGAATTATAGACAATTGTGCTAATTAGTTTATTATCCAACTAATTAAATGTGTTGGTAGTATTGTATAATGACGAATATGATAATGTTTTAGCTTTTTTTTTTTTCTTTCAGATTGAAAGAGTGGGCATCAGTGTCAAATTCAACTAAAGATTAGATTTTTAATCCCCAAACCACACAAACCCTAGTTGATTTTCTTCTCTGAGTGTATATAATTGATAGAAAACATCATATGTCATCATTATATTAGGTTATTTTCAAACTTATATATATATAATTAATAGAAAATATTTATATTATGTTAAAGCATGTTTTAGTTATCGATTATGATATTGATTAGGAGTCAACCAAAATCTTATAAAACCTTTGTCTTGACATCAAGTGGTGTCGAGTAAGAATATTTCAAAATGTAAAACTACTTCAAATCCAGTAAGACTACCTTGAGAGCATTCTTAATAAACTCCTCTAATGCTTGAATTAGTTTTTAATTTAGTATATTCAACTAAATGAAGAGTCTATGAGAGTTGATGTACTAAGAGAGAGTCTAACTCGAATAATATACCTGAGAGATCTTTTATATTCAATATCATTGTTTAATATCGGGAATAATTGTATGTCTCATATAACATTTGATACAATTGTGTAATACAAAATTTGGAGATAATGACAACTATAAATACGATTGTAACTTCCAAAAAGGTAATGTCCTATCGATCGTAGGATGATGATCACATAGGAATGAAGTGTCACTTGATAACAAGGTGTCGACTGTCTTCCCTATGTTATTATATCCTGAATATCCTCAT